CCAATCAATTGACAGCAAATTCAATGAAATAGGCCGTTAGGGGGCTTATTACAAAGATGGTTGTATTGTCCGAAATATTGCCGCAGAGGTTTGTCCGGTAGGGTGTTTTTGGTAGCAGTCAAATACAACTCAAACTCACAAAGTGACTTAAAACTTTGCAGAAAAAAACGTAAGATAAGACTGTCAGGGTGACAAATTCGTTAGCTCTGGGATAATCGGGGTCTACTGGCTCATAGACCCCTTTAGTTTTTATAAACCCCTCGTCTGTGGATCGGGGTCTATAAAAACCAGACCTCGAGGCCGACAGTTGTGACATTTGAACAAGACATCGATCTATGTTTACCACCTGTACGAAGTGTCACGTCATGTTTAACGATGTGTTGTTTACAGATCAAGACAAAGAATACATGTATAGCTGATTAGCAACATTTCCGGTTGTACTGCATCAAAAGCACCTGCAACTTTTATGTTTAAGGACTAGTTGTAATTGTGTCCTTAACATTAAGAATAAACTGTAATGTTCCGACATCAGCTGAACATTAGTGTTTGGATCTGTTTATGTGACTTCGGCCGTGTTATAAATATATGCATTGAAAGACATAATACCAGTAATTTAATTAGTACATTGTATTATCTTGCATAGTTTTAAAATTGCAACAATAACGAAAATTTGCGTAACATCGGCTAGAATTATCTAGATTTAAAAGAAATTCATAATGACAGGTAAAACAAGTGATACTGAACACCGCAATGGCACATTAAGAGAAGCTTGTTTCGCCTTCTGATTTTAAATGCATCAAAATATTCATTTATTATACTCTTTTTGTAGTGAAAATATGAAATTCTGTGTTTCCTCGGAACTGATCGTCATTCACAAAGACGAAGCGAACAAAACAAAAAACGATGATCCGCCTTGTGCTACGCATCATTATTGTTGTCTGCTTCAGTTATCGGAACACAGGTAAGATGTCTGTTACTCACTGGCGTCTAGGAGGGTTCTAAATAGGGTAATATGATCACGGAAACTAAGGTGCTTAGGGGAAATACGACTTGCGTCTTAGTTTAAATATATAATCACGATTATTAGGTTGACTCCAAACCTTCGAACCTACAATTTATATCAATGTAATTGATGTTGGCTTGGGTACTTTAGCTGCTAGTTACTGTGCTATCGAAAACATACCCAAGACAAACTTATTCTCACTATTTATTTCCTTTCCTGTAATTATTTTAAAATAAGCGTTTGAATGACATGCAATATAAATACCTTTCATTTTTTTACTCATTAAATTATTAGATAGCTTGAAAATTGTCGATAAAGTTGTATGGAGTGTTATTAGATTGGTCTTATCATGTAGCGGCGATAATCTGTCCAAGGTTTAATTGCTTATTAAGCAGCAACTAAATTTATATAGAGTTCTTCAGACCTTAAACATGATTTATTTTATCAAATTAAAATTCCTAGTTTTTACAAGTATTATGCAACAAGTTTTATGAACTTAAAGTAATCACTCCGGTTGGCCCGGGTAGTGCTATAAGTTAGTAGTTTTAGTACAATACAACAGGAGGACCACAGCAATGAACACTAAAAAAACTCTTTTTCACGCCAAATTTTGCGGGTCAAATATTGGCAGTATAACGAACGAACACCCTATTTAAATCTATGTTAATACTACAGATAAACAGAATCATAAATAACAGTTACACACTTTCACCTTTTATGTTTGTGCTTCAATTACTTATTCTCAACACATAAATGATGATCTGCATTCGCTTCCTCAGAAACCATGACAATACACCTGTGACCCATAACAACCATAGTCGGTGTTACATCTGACACGCCTCGTCTAAATTATATAGGGACCAGGACAGTTACCAGGTTGAGAAGTATACTTCCTGGAGCTGTAAATAAAAAGAAACAATGATGACAAACCGAATTAATTGTTTCGCCCTGTGATATTTTCATAACAAGTTTAGAGTTATCTTGACAAAAATGAGAGTGATTTTAATCAATAATTACAGCATTAGAAATGGTAGCCATTAAGGCATATAATGAATAAAAAAGAATTCAAATAGTATAAAATACTTATCTCATGAAGAATGGTTAAGGTTTTTAACAACTGTTAAGCATTATAAATGTAACTTGCACATGTTTGTATTTGATATCTTCAGGTTTTCCCAGTCATTTTTGAAAGAGCCATTCAGGGATACTGTAAACAGCACAGTTAAAACCTGTAAAAACTTTATATACAGACATCACGTAAGATAATTTATAAGATTAAACTTGGAACACATTTGTAAATACAACAGCATTGCAAGAGTACTTATAATCAACAAATAACAATAATGTTACTTAAACAATCCTTGTTTGTTCTTATTCAGTCATAAATGCAGTTATTCCAGCTGTATCGGCCGTTAACTCTTCCGTACTTTAGATGTTATGTATGTTGTATTGTGTATTTTATCTATTTTTGCATCATTGGTCTATTATATAGTTGGATATAAAGAACATATATATGCATACTTGATACACCTTGTGGACCTTCAGGACATGGAGGAATTAAACAGGTATGGGTTAGATCTAATAAACATAATGAGGGGTGTTTAATGACAGGTAAAAATAACCATACACATATTTACCTATTATAAGAATATCTAAAGAAATGGTTCCTTAACCATCATCATAAACCAATAAATGTGTAAATACTTAGGTAGTTTGTCACGATTTATACTTATATATAAACCCAGAGGAAATTCTTGGAAATGATGCTAATGCTTTGTAATATTTTAATCATTGGTATACGTGTGAGGCTATGAAAATCTATTTCCCTGTAAGTAAATCGATGGTGGGTGACATATCGACCTTACGACGTTAATCACACCGGAGTACAACGCGACGAATTAATAATCTAGACACTGTCCTTAGAGTGAAATGTCAAATCAAGAAAGCCAAGGATTGAAAATTTATAAAAAGAAAGTTGATAGATAAAAAAAAAGTTTAATTCGTCAACAAACGTTTGACATACTTGATTTATTTCATCAAATAGGATATTACTTATACGTATGATTTACCTTCTGTTTTGTTGATGTGATGTTGTGGTAGATATAGTGCAGTAATTTCAAATTGAATTCACTGTTATTATCGTCTCACCTCACCTCACCCATCCTCTTCATGCCGGTCGGCATTTAAGGCCCTGGTGTGATTATCGTTTAATCGCTGTCAATCATTTGGCTGGTATTTATTTATGTATTTTTTTATTTTCTAAATGCGACTGTTATTTGATCATTTTTCTAAAAGGTTTGAAGTATAATCGATTTGATATTAAACGTCGTCGTCACAACAGACACAAAAATGCCAAAATATATGCATTACTCCTCCCTAATTGATTGTTGACAAAATGTTTGATATTTGTCACTTTTCATTCTATTACCATGACGTGTTAAATCCAAAGGTCATGAAGAGATTGTAAATCGAGTAAATCTATCAAATATTTAGGAAAATGTTTTTGTACAAAATTAAATAAACATTCAATAGTATAAAAAAGATGAAAGATAAATATTTTGCAACAGGCAAAATCGACATTAAAGTCGAAAAACAGGAACAGAAGAAACCCTATATTACACGATAATTACTAGTCTAACCAAGGGAAAGGACTAGTCATGGTCGTCGTTTGCTTTGAAAAAAACAGAAATCTCATTGCCGCAGATATTATTAATTTACATTAAAATCAATAACAGTTATAAGGTAAACACATTGAACGGCATTGTTTTTAACATTCAAGCCGGTATCAAAGCAAATTGGTTATCGAAATGTAAAAAAAAAAATCCGAACTAAAAATCAACAAAACTAGGGCAAAAATAAACAATGAAAAGAATGCTTGAAATCCTTGCAAAAGTAAAGGTAGTATAGGCATCTTCTGCTCCATCGACGACACCCGCCATGTAAATCTAGGTCAAATCCAAGTAATGCCACGCCCTCAAAGTGCGAGCTGGCATATTGACAACGAAAAACCAAGTCACATTAATGACCATAATAACAATTTGAATTAAACAAATAACTGAGACATAAGTTATATACAACATTTAATTATGTATATACATATCAACGGGCTACATCATCATACAAACATATAATCAATATATATTTAAATCACACAGCTCATTAATCAACAAGTAATTGGCGTATGGGGCGAACTCAGCTTATATGTACACAAATCATTAATTTGTGAATTTCTTGTGATACCATTCTTAATCGGTTTGGGCAGATTGGTTTTTTGTAGCCGTGTGGACTTAGTCCCACGTTAACTACAAAAAATGCAGGCTATTGTGTGGCTGTGCGCTAATAGTGGCTACAGACTGTGCGCTAATATTGGCTAAAGATGTACAGATCTTTTCGATTATATGTATAAATATATACTAACAAGCTTTCGTGGCGTATAATATATATCATAAACACGTCATGCACACATCTGACCTCAATCTGGTATAGACTAAGCTAAGTATTAATCGATGGTCATTGGGATCCACATAACTATATATATATATACACACTAGTGTAGTATCCCTTGTTTCTATTCAATTGTGTATGGATGCGATATGTACACCGTACGGCGTACGTTTAGCGCCCATCATTATGATATTGAGGGGTCTCTATGACTCTGTAACATGTCTATGACCTATTACTTCCCAATGGGCTCAAAACGAGTCTGTGGCGTACACATGATATCATAATATCCTACAATAAGCCAAAGTGGGTCATACGAAGTGAAAGTCTGTCTCAATTTCAGGGTCGTCACTTGAACTATTTTGGAAGTAACTGATCTTGCAGTTTCTATTATTGACTGCCCTGTTGAACTTATTGCTGGACACTCATGGTATAATACTGTATCCACTGTCTTAACTTAGTGTCCGTGTCTCTAAGTAACGGTGGTTAGCGCTCTCTGAGCGTCTCTAATGCACGATGTTGAAGTACGAATGTATCTACAATATGTATCCGATGATCACCTTCCCAGTATTTTTATTAGGTGATCTTGAACGTGGGCTGTTGAAGCACTTGTCGCGGCCCCGATACGGAAGCTGTGTCCATTGTACTCATTTGAGTTAATGCCTAAACATTCTAGCACATGTTTGAATTTTTCGATAAATACGTTCCTAGTCAAGACTTTGTCATTCTCGTCCACGAACAGGGGGTCATCTTGTGACGGGTTTTGTTGCTGTCTCGCTTCCACATATTTACAACAAGCGACGTATGGGCATATAGAGTTATCGGTCTTGAACAATTTCAAAGTGATACCTTCCCTAAAGGGATCCGTCTTGGATGTCCTTAGACGGAGTAGCACATATTCGTCCGCTATGACCAGATCTTGGACATAGAGATTGATATTGCGGTCAAAGTAACATTTGACAGTAAAATCCCCGCACCTCAAGAAACCGTAAAAGGCCACTATACACACGGTTTCTAACATGAGGTTACCAAACGAGGTGGCATTTGAACGTAAATACACACTTAATGCTTTTAGAATATCAAATGTATCTGGATGTCGTGGTTTCGTTACCTTAATGTTGGTTCGTTTCACGCCTCCTAGAATGGCTTGCATTCTATTCAATTTGGCACTATTGGGGTATGTAATGTTGTTCTTCATGCACATGAACCGGATACCACACACGTATAACTTAATTGTCGTATAAGTTAGATTAATACTATGGCAGTAAGCTACGAATTGTATCAGCAGGTCCTCTGTAACACACATTCCTGCTAAGTTGACACTGTTGATGAGGCCGGCCTTTGGTAGAAATTGAACGAATGTATTATAACCCGTGTGGTAAGTTTTTAAGGTACTTGGGGCTAATGCCGCCTCCCACAGGTCTGCGACTACTCTCCCTACCTCCAGAATACCTCCGATGGATGTGGGACCTGGCATGGCAGGCGGTTTGCTTCCGGGGCTAGTTCGACGAATCTGCAAACGAGATAGAGTATCCGCGATGAGGTTACTTTTGCCCGGGACATGCCGAGACATGATCACAAACATGTTCATAGCAGCACACATAGTAAGACGTCTCATTAAAGGCATGAAATGGGAAGCTTTAAAGCGTCCTTTATGCAGAATAGACACAGTAGCTGTGTTGTCACACATAAACATGATCCTCAAACCCTTCCACAAATGACCTCATATCATGGCAGCCACTACAATAGGGTACAGTTCCTTAAACGCTATTAATAGTTCTTCCTCGCTATTCGCGTGCTCCTGCATGGATGATGGCCATGCTTCTGAAAAACATTCACTTTGCATGTATCCACCGTAACCTAGTGTGCCGGACGCATCAGTAAATAGTTGTAGGTCATCAGTTGATGTGATTTGGCGGTCGTAGAATATGGCTGCCCCGTTCCACTGAGCCAAAAAAGTCAACCACATTCGTATGTCTTCCCTACATTCCTGATTTAGCTTGACATGGTAGTGTCATGGTTTGACGGTAGTTGACAGCTGGATAATGTGAGAAATAAAACTCTTGTCTGGGATGATTACCTTGTTCGCGAAATTGAGATGCCCCAGAAGCTGTAATAGTTCTCTTTTGGTGCACGACTGTCGGCTTTGGAATGATTGTAGCATCTCGGTATCGCGTTTTAATTTGTCTTCGGGTAGTCTGGCTTCCATATAATGGGAGTCTAAGATGATACCCAAGTACTCCATAACAGTCTCGGGTCCACATGTTTTGTGGAGAGCCATAGGGATATTAAGACGGTTAAATATCAAATATAACAACGTCATGTTTCTCTGGTCACATTTTCCTGGCTCTTCAAATGTTATAAAATCGTCCAAGAGATGCAAGATGTGAGCTATACCGTAATTGTGTTGCGCGATCCAGCATATGGCTTGCGACAAATTGTTAAAGATTTTTGGGCTAGACCTACACCCGAAAGCCAACCTCGTATAGTAATAGTAATTACCTTTCCAACAGATGCCGAACAGATGTCACTGTGATGGATGAATGGGCAATACTTTGAAAGCGTCCGAAATATCTATTTTACACATTGAAGTATTCTTTCCTAATGTTTGTATCAATTTGATAGCATCGTCTATGCGGACATAAGACAGGGAACAATCCTCCTTATGTATTAGGTCGTTGACACTCGGGTGTTCGTCATTGTCATGTGGTGAAGATAGGTCCACTATCAAACGGGGTTTACCAGAATACTTTCCATATGACACCCCTATTGGTCTGACTCTATATGTTGAGAATGGTAATTTATTAAAGGGTCCTTGTAAAAATCCTTTTTTAGTCTCACTAAGAATAAGATTGTCGACAGTGTTTCGTCGTTTAAAGCCGACATTAGGTTTCTACATTCTTTAATGGGAAGAGTAGATCCTACCACCATAGTACCAAATCCATGAGTCAGTACATCGCATAAATAGTTCACAAACTCGCGGTCCGGATGACCGGTCAGTTCATAGCTTAGTCGTTCAATATTGACCGGAGTTGTTGCCACTTGTCATTGACGGGGGTCAATGTTACTGTCGTCACTTTAGGGTTGTTTGTGTGTTTTCCGGCATGCCTTAGCTCCGTGATTGGTTGATTTACAGTTCGAACACATTTGGATGAAATTGCACAGACTGCCGTACTGACACCCCCATCATTATAATTGTTGCAAACTTCGGATCTATTAATCTTGATTCTTTTCCGGCCAAGTTTGTCCAATTTCTCCCCATTCCTGGCTTGTTGTTGGGGGTTCTTAAGGTTATTTGCGTTACCACTATACACGGACTTCTTAGATTGGTGCTGGGGACAGAACGGCGTTTGATGTGTGGTGGAGTTACACAGTTGGCACGTGTTAGCCCTAGCATTGCCTATCACCATGGCCAGAATGCCATTGTCTCTGAGGGCCCAGTTTACCCTTTGTCGTCTGTCCCTCAGAGCAGTAGCTGCTTTTAACGCAAATTGACAATGGTAATCATAAAACCTCTGGCCGTATACGTTGGCAATCTCAATGATGTTTGCTTCGTGACTGTCCATCTCGGACCGACGCGTCGGGAATTTTTCGCACATGACCCTTTTAAATTTTCCAAAAGAAGTCACAAATTCCGAAACGGTCAAATGTTTATTCAACCTGGGGTCCTCAACTTGATCATTAATGTAGACATTAATGCCAGGCTGTTTATCTTCTGTTTAGGAATTAACAGGGAGGTCAGATTGATGCATCTCCCCTCGAGAATTTTCTTTTTGTTATTGTCAGACACAATGTCCAAGTGAGGGATGCTCTCGGACGAGATGCCATCAGATAAAGAATCAAAGTAGTTACCTGATTGTCCTGTAGAGCTCGTGGCAGCCGCAGCGTGTGTGTTGGTCACCGCGTATGATTTCTCCAACGTGTATACGTCTGTGGATTGACGTTCCTTATTGCTGTTGGAGACGAGAGTGATTACAGTCTGCTGCAGGTCATTCATTGTTTTTTGCATACCCTGCATTGACGAAAGGAGTACCTCCACAACATTCACACTGGGCGCGGCCATGTTTGTTGACGTACGCGTCCGCACAACCACTTCCGGTGTGGTGATGGGTGATGCGGTTGACAGAGCCTCGGCAAATAGTTCCGTACAATTTTCGGATGTACTAGCACTTGTCGTGGTGTTGACGTCCGACACGGGCATAGGTGTTAAGTCACTATTGTTATTGTCTGAACTAATCACGTCCTGGTTCGAATTCACTAGTCCCCGAACTGGGCGGCCTCGTACAACCCCACTTTTATGCCGCCTTCCCACATTTTCAAGATACATAGTTTTAAGTGTGGCTTTCGTAATTCCCGTTGATGGTGCGAGGATGCCGATCTTGTCCAGGTCAGTTCTTAACTGTATGATTGTCCAGTTGTTTGGGTTGGAATTATCCCACGGGGCGGTTCTGGTTGTGGTTCTCTTACCTACGGCTCGCCATGTTAACAATTTTCACTTTTGGCGCGCAGCGAATGTTTTGGTTTTCGATCCGAACTGTTGGATCTCCTTTGGTTCTCGACTATTTTTAACGCCTACATGTTTCCTTGTTATTATGTTTGTGGTTATATATGTCCTGATTTAAATTAACGTCTGTAGGATCCAAAGAATTCTTACAAAATATCGGGAGACTAAACTGTGTTGTTCTTATCGCTACTGCTGCTGAATGATCGAGTGACGCTATTAATCTGGTCCTAAGCTCTTAGCCAATCAGATACACTTGCATACTTAAGTGACGCTAACTAGTTCCCCTTACCCAATCAGAAAGCTATATAGTGTACACGTGATCATTAGACTTGTATTTCTAGCCATCTCGAGATACACATTTTGGTAATCTCAAAAATGTAAATATATAGGTATCGTCACACACTCTACACTAGTACACCTAGCGATTTTCGTCGGACTTATAAGTAAGGGTATGCTATGTAGTACTCACTTAACATGACTAATCAAGCTTGTGCTTGATTAGGGGGGTATTATTTGTTCCATTCAAACATGGCTTTTATACAAAAGTCTTAACTTAGACCTTCATATCTCACAGAAAATAACACAATTGCCTTAACGCTTTATCATAAGAAAATAAAAAGCGAAAACAGCAGCAATGACAAGAATTACGTCGATACAAAAAAGACAACAGCAAACAACTGGGAATTAATAAAACAGAAATAGACATTATGTAACCTGTGTGGTTTATGTGTAGCAAAACACCACTGTCTGCTTACTGAACAGTGACGCCCTGTCAGGCAAAATGATTAATAGAAGCACTTTTTCTCAGAAAACATTCAACTTAATATATTGAAGGTCATGTACATGCTAGCTATATATCCAACATAAGCTGAGTTTATCTGTACATACATCATGGGAGACGGAAGGATTATGTTGTTACTCTTTGTATGTAATATATTTGGTACTCAAAATTGATTGCGTGGAAGTTAAATTCGGCAGTTATTGATTGTTTCCATATCTTTACCGAAACTATAATTTGAATAAGAACATTATTGATTTCGCTAGCTATCATGGCCATTTCACTGTGTAATTCAAGTTAAATGAAATAGTTCTATTTTATTTCAGATTGTGGCGGTGCTAGTATTTCAGGAGTCAAGTGGGCAGTTTCCACCTCAGATACCTGGTAAATGGCGGAACCCGAACATAGAGCGTTATGTCCGAAACCTCTGTAGAGTAAGTTCGAGTGTTATTGGGTAAACTCTATTAGTTCGGTGTGTGTATTTGTATAGCTGTGATACCGGTCTTACATTTAACATGTTTTCCTAATGTAAAGAATGTGCACAACAACATAGGCTGCTTTCAAGATTATACCATTTCGAATCATTGCCATATGGTTGTTTGGAAGTAAGCATAAAACATTTCTTGATACTGTAGTAAATTGTAACTTTACAATTGTTTTATTTACATATATAAATGAAGCCTCATTAGAACAAAAAAATATATGAGTATAACTGCGATTGTTACTTAGCGTACATATTAACATATTCAATTATTAATTTTTAAGTCCGATCATTTTGTGCATAGCACAGAGCCATTTAATCATCGTATTTTATACCTATATATATACATATAGTATCATAACTTTTGGGTTTTGGTTTTAGTTCCATAATTGATTTTCCTAAGCTATGAGATTCTAATTTAATTGCAAAATCTATTATCCACTCTCAACTCGTATATTTTAATTTCTTTCTCACTAACAGTAATCACATTATATTCTCTACATAAACAAAAAAAAAATCCATTTTTTTCCACTCTCACTTTTGTGTTAAGTGTTGGTGGTGAGTTTCAACTCTCATTTATCTCGCACCGATCATTATCGGGAATTATTTTATTGGAGATAAATTCGTCTTTAGGAATTTTTTATTTTCAGATCAGTCATCTTGTTGTCGAAAAGTAGTTAAGTCTCAACACCTTTAACATATGTCAGACAAATAACAAAGTTAAACTCATATGAGATATATATCTTTCAATGCACATATACATATGAATTAAACGTGTAAATTGAAATAACTGCTTTGTTCACTTTTGACATAAATTTGAGTGAATAATAACAGTTGTATGCTTCAATCATCTATGAAATTATATAACTGATTTTCATTGATATTTTTTCAACAGTTCATGCAGTGTCCTGGTATAGAAGGCATGTGTGACCTAAGACCTTACCCATGCTTTGATCCTCCATGTGCTGTCGGGCCGACCTGTATCCCTAGTATGTATATACAACCAACATCATTACAACTATAGCTAGTTACACAACACAATTAACACTGTATTGTTAACACGAATAATTATTTTTTTTAAAAATCTTATGGACAAAACCTCACGAGAGGTTCCGTTTCTGAGATCGAGACCCTTTTATGAATATGGTGGCTGAATTTGAAAATTAGTAGATATCATTAAAAAGTATTGTGCACCTAATCTATATATAACACAGCTGCTACTATTTAGTATTGTCTTTGCATAGCGAAAGGATATTATATCATATTGTAAGGTGAAGATTTAATATGCCACTGTTCGTATGATTTTATTTAAATAGACGCTAAATGTTTCCTACTTATTTTCATTGTTCTATCTAGTTTTTCCATAACATAGATTCTGCCCATTTCATATATGATATGTTCTGTCTAAAACCATAGTTAGTTTTCAACTATTTCAATAGTATGATGTTTTCGTCTTCCTCAGGTCCAGGAAGTTCTACGAAACCGGGCAATTGCCCTTCTCCTTTTAACATATGGACACGACGGGTCAGGTGTAACACAGACATAGCTTGTTATAATTCAGAGATATGTTGTCACGGATTCTTCGGAAGCGAATGTAGAGCACCGGAACCATTCATGATCTAAGAGTCCAATGATCAATGTGTTGGAAATCAAATAAAACCTAAGTACACCGTGAAATGTGAATATTGTTGATGAGTTTTGTAATGTGTGCTATTTTTCGATATTTTAGGGCAATAAGACGATAAACGATTAGTATTTTCTAATTTTCAGAAGATTTCTTTATATATATATACGATCTTACACGAGTTTCCCTATCATATGAGATTTACAAAACGAGTTTAAAAATGTTTCAATTTAGCGAGCCTCTGGCGAGCTAGAATGAAAAATTCACGACGAGTTTCGTAAATTTCGTAAGAAATGAAAACGAGTGTAAGTTCCTCTTTATCACATACTGAAGATTTGTGGCATTTATTCGTGTAAAACGACGATTTTCATGCAACCTTGAATTGTAAAAATCAGTCATTTTGACTCTAGTGCGTAAGTCTGTGACGTCATGTACTTGTCCTAAGCAGGCGTCACAAGTAAAATAATTAAAACTTACAACCAATCACAGGGTTGATAGGTTAAAATACATGGGTAAATACGCAAAAAATATGACATTGGTATATTCACTCGATAACACAGCACATCTTGTGATAAAAATGAGTATGGGTCGTTGATAGAAAAGAGCTTGAACGCAAAGGCATTTGCATTAAAGCAAGATTACGTTTGTAACATATTTGTAACATTTTTATGTATGGAAGGCAAAGAGACACATAAAGAAGGCTTTCGATTATCTGAAAACTAGGAACCATTATCAAATATTTACATTTGCATGGCATTGTCACTATATAGCCTCTTTGAAAGCTGTGTCGTTGATGGGACTTTAATTACCATGCAGCACGAGACACATATTCTTTAGACCTGCTTTCACATATGTTACAGACCTACTGATATGAGTCACAAAACACATAAACATTTCAAACATTTGTAACGAACCCCTGTTCTCTGTCGCAAGATCACTCACTTCAAATGATATCAGTTTCACGCGTCTTGCAGCCACAGTTTCCTCAGTTTCTGACGACATGTCAATTAACGAGATTGTTATAGAATCTAGCGACTGTAGGTCAGAATCCCATACAATCAACAAATAAATTCACGTCTGGATTCTTCACAAAATGAGCAAAGAGAAAAGTTCGAATTAACTTACGGTGTTCACTGTATTTATCCATGCGCAAAATTTGTTCCGGGAAAAAATCGAAACAATTTCAAATTTAACTTTCAGCTCAGAGTTCTTTTGATAAACTTAAATCACCTTTAAGACATATCATACTGTATTGGGGAATAAAATTGAAGTGTTTGTTAAACTTTCAAAGTATTACTTTGTTTGCCAATCAGCTAGCGACAACACGCTGTTCCAACTATTGAACGAATTTGTGTGGACTGTCGATAAGGCGGGAATTTAAAATATCAATTGTAAATTAAAAAAGAACATATAAGAGGCACAGAAAACGTAAATATAAGTATTGAACTGTTTTTGTATGGTATTTATGATCTATTTGAATGACACAGCTTTGCAAGCAAACAAATCATAATGCGCGCAATGCTTGATTAAATACATATAACTATTGACATACAATCAGAGTATCCATTTACTCGTTCAGTTGGCCTCAATGGATAAGCTTGATGTTTTATGTTTAGGCTTATGTCTTTAAACGGTTTTCATTTTTTGAATCAATCAGTCACTGAATTGAATTATGGTATCTTATGTGCACGTGATTATTGAAAAAATAAGAGAATTTTATTTCAAAATTAAATTATAATTTATGTAATCTCCATTGTATAAGTATATTAATTATTTTTATTTCAAAATTACCAAACTTGCGTGTTAATTTTTACATTTTTTCGATGCAATGAAATTCGAATACATCTATGTCGCATTTATTTATTTCTACCAGTGTATTGCTCAAAAAAGGAACTATAGTCATCATTACATAATCATAAAACACATAATTTCTGCAAAAACAATTGTCATGTTTGTCCATAACTGGCCCCTGGAGGGTTGGCGTTGACATCTTTCCTTTTATATGTTTTGCTAGCGTTTCCTAACTTACCAACGGTAGACTATATGTATGAATATGTAAATGTACATTGGGAGAGGAGAAGTTACCATTGGAGAGGATTATTGCAAAGCACGTTCATTACGAGCATCGGACAAGCAAACAAGAACTATTCAAACCGCAAAACATTGTAGATGTTAATATTGGATGTTATGAAAACTAAACGCCGATTAAATTTGCGGAACATTCACATTGAAATACATATTCCTTGGCGAGAAGAAAAACAGTTTAATCATTTCTACATACAAAAGTGGTCGGTCTTTGTACTCACAAATTAGTGTTTTCATTTTTCAAAATTTCCTTTATTCATATTAATTTTGTACTTTTGGTTTATTTCGTGATGAAAATATTTTAGCGGAACATTTAATCCAAATTCATTGTTAACTTTGTTCCAGATATGCCAAATAATAATAGAAGATAATGCATTAGGAAGACGCTAATAACCCTAACATGGACATTTATATAATTATTTTATAATTCTGAATAACAAAATGTCATCTGAAAGGATTCAGTAGAAAAGAAGGCTTTCCCATTGTTCATGTTAAAGTAATAATTCTGTCTCACCCATCAGTTTTGGTGACATGTATCATAACCATCATCAATAAACTAAAAAGGTCAAATTGATAAAATTAGATAATGTGTAATCAAATCTCTTTTGTTTCTCGAACGCCATGAAAAAAGATTTCTCATCCGGACGTGTTAGATTAAGTTTTTCATTACAACGTTTCATGACAGCAATCTGGGCCCAGTTGTTAAAAAGGTGATTAACGCAAATGTCATTTTTGGTGTATCTTTAAAACGTAACATTTCACTGAGTTTTAAATGTCCAGATAGCTTATTTTACATCAGAGTAAATTACATGCAAAATGTAAAGGTTATACCCTACATATTGACCAAATTATCAGAGATTGAAAAATGTCGTTAAAAATGATAAAGCTTATCACCTTTTGAACAACTTGGCCCAGATTGATGTGAATCTTAATTGCACAGCTGAAATTGCAAGAAGTTCTACAAACAGGAAAACTTAATATGTTGTCCTTTTGTTATTATTATATAAGCAGTCATACGGAAGCTGATTTGTTTTGACAGGTTTGTTAACATCCCAATCAATTTATGAAACAAAACATTATAAGCTGAAAAATAAACTTTTGATGCTGTTATATAAATTCCCTTATATAACTTAAAATAACTAATATACTAACTTTGCAGTAGTTTATGCAGAGTTCCTGAAAGCCCGTGCAACGTGATTCTTTCCCATCAATAATCATGAACTGAGGCCTAAAATGGTGGCACAAGGTCACCAACAACTGAAATACCTAATAACTGATATTTAATATTTCCAGTACCATGTGTCAACAAATAAGTGGTCACATATGATATATGTATGTTACAGTGTTTCATATGTTTAAAGATTTCGAAACTAGGTCAGAATTATTTATATTGTAACAATTACCAATAAATTTACGACGTTAGACTTACAAAAGCGATCCTTTCTGCAAATAATACATTTCCATTTTAATTCCAGAATCTCTCGAATCACCAAGCGTCTTCCCATTCCAATCTGTTAGCCCTGTTTAACGTTACACTTGATTGTCCGTTTAACAATATTAACAAGCGAAACAAAATATAAAATAATTTAGTAAACAAACACGTTTCAAACGCAAGAGTCATAAAATGCTTAGAATATTTGTATATCTATTAACGCGGCAAACGTCCTATACATACATGATGATTAGGTTTGAAAGAAGATGTAGATATATCAATAGATAATGTTTATTGATATCTCTACGTTTAGGTTGTAAGTTATAGATATGACTCCCTCTATACTTTTTAGAAGGAGATATATCTATATAATGATAATAAACAAGCGCATTATTGTCAATGAAATATAATAAACATGTATTACCTGAGGTATCATAGCGTATGATTGAAATATCTGCTGAATATATTTTCGTAAAACAATAATCAATATAAAATTATTCTATGTTTCTAAATCATTTGAAGTATTTAATCATACCTTTACATATTTACGGCGATCGATAAACACTTTTCTCCTGTCACTATATGCTTACATATGTTTCAGAATACTTCATACATGGTTTTGCTATTCTTTTGATCTGTGACCTCTTCGCTGGTTAGCTCATCGAGTTGAGGTGAAAAAAAACGAGGAAAATGACTGTCTCCGATCAGATTTCAGATCGTCAGTCTAGCTAGCTCACATCTTATGCTATTGGAAACTCTGGTGTGACTGTCCGACATGATAATATAAGGGCATGAAATATAATACAAATGAGTTTAATTCTCAGACGCACTGTACTGACATTGAATAGCGTACATGCATGGTGTTTCGAGCTACCCGCAAGGTACAGTATGTATCATGTCGTCTCCAAGACAACAGCGTCCGACCAACTTAAATCCGACTAGTTTTTGACGTGATATGAGGTCTACGGAACATGTAAAGCATGATACGTAGTAAATCTATGTCAAATTGACGAAATTGAAGTATATCGATCCATACTGCCCCCGGCGTGCTATTTTGTGGAGTTAGTGACCTTGTTTATGTTATAAGTGTACGGACAGACGAGGGTAGTACCTGTGAGGAGATGATAAATAGTATCTTGAAATGCAAACGCTGTACTTGTAGTTGCTTATATTGTGAGGCTTGAAGTTTAGCAATTCTACATTCGTTCTCAACAAATGTTTAGGTATTGAACACAAGTTTTCACAATATAATAGGCCATCTCGTATATTCTTAATTGCGATATCAACGACAGCGATTACTGAGTGTAGTATACTGGAGAAAATGGTGTATTCCAATGTCAACTGTTTTTGTATCAATTACTCTGATTTATATACGACGAACCTATAGGTCGATATATACCTTATGTTAAAATTATGTTATATTCTATATGATGCAAAAAAAGGAAGACAACTCGTACTCATTCGATATAGAAGAAGTACAATCTCCGAGAAGCAATATTTACCTAGAAATGTCATTACTTGAGTGTA